GCCCCAGGGCTCCAGGGAGACCCCTTTTGTCTCCTTAGTTGAGCTACCTACCTTCAGTGGGCCTCTATTATTTGCAGCTGAAAGAGCCTGATGAAAATTTGAAGGAACTTCTGGCAGAAGGCAGCAGGATAGTTTTGGTCTGGACCTCCCTGTTGTTTTGTTGTCATGTGCCGTTGATCTCATAGCTACCTCCCTAGATGGCAGAATCCTTCAGGCCAGTAGAGGTGCATGGTCTTAAGGTCACCTACTCGTGAGACTCAGTGACTGCGGGTTACCATCAAAAACTGGAAGCCGGGGCTGGACAAGTGGAGTTGTTTAGCCTGAGGCTTCGTGAGGCTAAAAGCATTTGCCCAGTGACAGAATCTGAGTACTGGGTGGGGATGTGACTGCAACAATGAGCACTTTGGTACCAGAAGGGAGTCCAGGTGGTGACAGCTAAAATTCCATTCATATTTGTGCCTGTTGATAAACACTGTTAATACTGAAGTGCCCAAGTGTGGGATGGGTCCTGGAAAGTGAGTGGGTGGGTGGAGGTCCATGGGGTGGGGGTGGGGGTATAGTCTTGTCCCCATACCCTAACCCTTGTTTGGGGCGTGAGGGGTTTAGACGTAGGAACCAGTTTCTTCCTTCTTCAATGAGGGTTTGTGTATGTGTGAGCAAGTTGTCTGCAGATGAGATTAGGGAGTCAGGTAGTGCCTGGGGGTCAGTATGTCTCCACTACTGCCCAACTTTCTAACGCTCTACTAGGCTAACCTTTGCAGGAACAGAAGGCTCACAGCCTCTTCTCTCTGGACAAAGCCCCCCTCTCCTCTACTCTCTTCCTTGTAGGATAAGCTTTCTAGACTTTTCTCTCAGACTGGCAGACATGGTAACACCACCTGTGACTTAAGGCAGCCTTTAATTTTCAACCAAGGTGGCCATGAGCTGGGGGTTAGTGTGTGACAGATAATTTAACATCAATTGTTAAATTACTAAAGTTTGTGCATAAGTTACCTTAAAAACAAGAATCAAAGAGAAGGTAGACACCCAGTCTCCAAAAAAAAGCTCATCCTGTCAGCAAAGCCCCAGTGGTCTCAGGGAGGTAGAGGGAACAAGAGGCTGTCTAACCTAGCCTCTTGTTAGCTTGTTCTAGAATGCCTAGAAGGCTGCTAGGCATTCTAGCGGATGCCTCAAGGGTAGGGTGCCTGCAGCCTTGGGGTGCACTAGAAGATTCCTTGGGGTATAAGTTCATGTATACTTTTCCTTTTAATTTTTTATGCATATTTTATTAATGTTAGTGTTACGGTTTTTTGTCTCTCTCAAAAACATGTTATAAATCTTAACCCTTATACTTGTGGTTAGGTGCTGTGGTATTTAAGATTGTGTATCAATTTGGCTGGGTTGTGGTTTTGAGGGCTAGGCAGCTGGATGTAGTTATTCCCCAGGATGAGAGTGTAATCACCTCCATGGTGGAATCTGCTGTGAGCAGCTAAGTAGTTGCCTTCAAGGTGTGGCCTCTTTCCAGCATATATACGAAGCAGCTTTGGGAAATGGCTCTAGCTTTTGGCACATTTGGAGCCTGCATTTGGCTGTCTTCTAACCAGTGGTCTCCCATGTTGCCTGCCAATCTTAGGATTATGACATTTCATCTGCAGACCTTAGGCTTGTTAGCCTCAGCAGCCAGAAGCTGCTGAGATAGGAGAAGCCTCTAGCTCCAATGGGCCTGGAACAGGAGGCAGAGCTGAAGCCCAAGGTCAAGTGGCCTTCACTCAGCCCTCAACCCCACTTTGAACATCAACTTCTAGCCTTCTAAACTGTGAGAATAAATTCCTGTTTGTCAAAGGCATCCATTTATGGTATTTGTGTTATAGCAGCACTACAGAACCAAGACAGGTGCCTTGGCGGCACAGTGGTTAAAGCAGTTGGCTATTAACCAAAATGTTGGTGGTTCAAACCTACCAGCTGCTCCATGGGAGAATGATGTGACTATCTGCTCCTGTAAAGATTTGCTGTTGTGTTTGCCATTGATCCAACTTATAGCGACCCCTCCTTGGGTCTCTGAGGCAGTATCATTAGGGAAGCAGATTGCCCAACCTTCCTTCCGAAGAGTGGCTGGTGGGTTTGAACCGCCAGCCTTCTGGTTAGCAGTCAAATGTCTTGGGCACTACGCCACCAGAGCCTTAAAAACCTTATGGGGCAATTCTACTCTGCCACAGAGTCACTATGAGTGGGAACTTGACAGCAGTGGGTTTTTGGTATACCTGTGCCTATAATCTCACCTGGGAATTTTTTTTTTTTTTAAATGATGAGGCAGTATTAGTGTTTGATGTATCTTAAAAGTCAGGAGCCTAAGTGGTGCAGTGATTAAAGCGCTTGGCTGCTAACCAAAAGGTTGGTGGAATCTACTCGACACAGTGGGTTTGGTTTTTGGTGTCTTAAGCCAATCTCCTTTGAGATATGAGATAAAACAAGCATATGAACAAACAGGGGAAGAGAGATGCCAAACCACACAAGAAGATCACCCAGGAGCAGAAACCCAAAAGGGACAAGGACCTCCCTCAGAGCTGACAGAGAAAGCCATCCCCTACAGCCAGCACCCTGGATGCAGACTTCTAGCCTCCTCACGATGAGAAAATAAACGTTTGTTAAAGCCACTCACTTGTGGTATTTCTGTTATAGCAGCACTAGAGAACTAAGACAGTGTCTGGTATAACTTATATGTATATACTGTGGGTTGGTATGGACTGCTCACTGGAGGCAGCCGCTCTGGACATGGCCTGGATCCTGGCCACATGCCCCTGTTCAGGTGCCTTCTCCCTAGTCCGTCAGTCTGCTCATCACTTGGCAAGTTTCACCATGGCCTCTCCCAGGTGTGTACTGCAGGCAGCAGGAGCTCAGAGCCACTAGTTTCTAGGCAGGCTGGAGGCCGAAACAGGCCATGCCTAGAGCCCTCTGCCTTCAGACGTGACCTCAGCATGCTCTCCAAGCTCAGCTTTACCTTCTCAGAGGCCCCTCTCCTTTCCCCTCTCCCATACCCGTGCTCTCATGGCCCTAGCCTCTCTCCTTCAGTAGGCTGGCCTCACCAGGCCCCTGCTCAAGGCCTGTGGCTGAATGAACACACAGACATCAGGACCTGCTTCCCCTTCAAGGGTTTCTTTATTCAACCTGTAAAGACTGCCAGCAACTTGGCTGGGCCCTCTGTGGCTTCCTGTGAGGGAATGCTTGGAGTAAAAATGGATTTGGTCCCTTTCCTGGTTTCAACAATCGAGTGTCAGCATCTCTAGCCCCCCAACACAAATCAATAGCATTTGCTTTTCCTTGTTTCTCCCAACAGAATAAAAATATATCTCTTATCATATATATATATATAGATAGATAGGTAGATAGATAGATAGATATTTATCTACTGTACACACATACACATAAGAGTGAGCCTTGAACTAAGCAGGGAAGGACCTAGTGTCCCACACTGAGCCTCAGCTGGGGTGGGCAGGCAAGGAGGTACATGTTCTGCTTGGAAGCACCTCAGTGTGCAGTGCTGGGCTGGTGCAGCCTGGAGGGCAGACCTCTAGTCAGTCCTTTCCCTCCAAGAAACAGACTGGGCTATGACAAACCAGGCAGCCCCACCCAACCTTTCCATACATCTTAAAACAAGAAGCTACCTGATGGAGGTTTGAAGACTAATACCCAAAGTGCAGATAAAAAAGGAATTCCCTGAAAGGGCCCAGGGTCTGATGTTTTGACGAGAGCTCTGAGGCATCACCCAGCAGGGCTGACACCTGCCTGCCAACACCCTTGGCCCTGCAGACAGGGCCCCCTCCTGTACACAGAGGTCTGCTCCACCACAGAGAGGAGGGACTGGGGTGCCCTTTCCCTCCATGGGCCTTTAACTCCAACTCCTATGAGGCCCCAGGTATGGGAACCCAATGGCCAGGGTAAGACCCAGGTCATCCAATTAAGCCTGAGGTAATAAGTAGGCTGCGAGTGGTGGGATGTAGTTGGTAGACTCCTAAAGACTCCCACCTCCACAGACATTACCCTAGAGAGGCCAGTGGCCTAGGGCCTGACGGGACAGCTTGGGCTAAGGCATTTCCAGGAAGGTGGGGGTGGGTGGAAATGGATAGTTAGGGCCAATGTTTGGTGCCCGTGGCCAGCCACAAAACCCCAAAGGCACTTGGTAGCAGAAAGAGCACATTGGGGCCCAACTGGGCATCTCTGGACATCATCTAGTAACTCAGAGTTTGGGAGAGGAATGCAAAGAATGCTTCCTCTTCCTACTTGCCACCACATGCTTCAAGCTGTAACTGCTCAGGACAAGACCTAAGAGTCAACAAAAACCCTGCTGCTATTCTGAGGGTCGGAAGTAAGAACCATGGTACGGGGCTCACAGACGCGTGGGGTGGGGGCCAAGCACAGCCACGTAGCAACGTAGCAATTCTTCCTGAGCTCTTGTCTCTGGTGGAGTCAGTCTGGTCACCACAGCTAAGCAAAGTCACCGTAGGGTTCAAGCCAGACTTTTTCCCAAGGCACTGAGGAATCTGGAAAATCATCTTGGTTCAGACAGACTGCACCCCGCAGGGCTCATCTTTGGTGTTGGATAGCGAAGAGCTGAGCATTGAGGCTAAAGCTTGTGCAAAGCTGGGGGGAATCCAGGTGTGAGGGACGTTGGGAGGAAGTACCTGAAAAACACAGACCCTTAGTGTACATGCAGGTGATGCGCAATCTCCAGGAGGGGCCCCTGTGGAGATGTGGCCTCCTAGTTATTTCCCTGCCCAGATATGCTGCACAGATGGCTGAGTTCCAAGGAACAAGGGATTTGCTTCTGATGTAAATCTTCTCCAGTCAGCTCCAGATGAGCAACTCCCAGGCCCACCTGGCTTTGGGGGGAAAGAGAAGGCAGGAGACCAGGAGGACCAGGGCTGCAGCCGGTGGAGGTGCTCACTAGAGATGTATTTCCCTGAGGCCCACCACCTGAGGTGCCACCGTCCCTCCGTCCTGGGCTCCCTGCATTGCAGCGGCCGTCAGAGCTCTCTGGGGATGATGGAGAAGGGCAGCACGGGGCTGCTGGCCTCCAGCTCAAGGGCGGTGAGGAAGCAGTCAACGGCAGCCTCACTCTGGCCCTGGGCCTGAAGCACTTCACCCAGGCCCTGCCAGGCCTCATGGCAGGTGCTCTGCCTCTCCACGGCGTCCCGCAGCACCTTTTGGGCCAGACTCGTGCGGCCCAGTCGGCTCAGCATCAGGCCCTGTGGACCAAGCACAAGGCAGAGTTAATGAGGACATCCAGGGACCAGGTCACCTGAGCAACTGAGGCAAGGAGCCTGCCCGCTGCCACCAGCCCTGCTAGCAGCCAGAGAGGTCCCCTGTGTCTCTGGCTAGGGCAACATCAACTGACCCTGCGCCCATGAAGATCCTGCCCATTTCCATCCAGGCCCTTCTTCAGCCCCAGGCTCCCAGAGGTGCTGGCAGGAATTCTGCTCTTCCTGACCTCCCATGCACAGGCTTTCAGTCAACAGACCTGCCTTTCAGTCTGGGGGATCCTGGGGAAGTCACACAACCCTCTGACTCTGTTTCCTCATCTGTAAATGGTAAAATAGTATCCATCCCTAAGGTCGTTGAGAAATTTAAATGAGTCAGTATGTGTAAAGCACTCAGAACTGTGTCTGGCCCACCGGGAGTGCTCAATAAGCACAAAAACCACATCTGTTCTCACGGTCTTTGCTGCTTGCATCTTGGAGCTGCCTGCACCTTCGCCCCAGGGATCAAGTGGGTGAAAATGTCCATTAAATGGCTTCACCCATGACAACCAGAGAGGAGGTACTCAAGCTTGTTAGTGAGAGGGGGCAGCTGCTGCTTTTTTAAAAAATTTTTTATTGTGATTTTGGTGAAAGTTTACAGAACAAATTCATTTTCCATATAGTAGTTCATACATATTTTGTTTCATGACACTGACTGCAATTCCTCACAGTGTAACAGCTCTCTTCCCACTTCCTCTCTGTAGTTACCTCTTCCCTGTGTCCTTCCCTGTGCATTTCTGACCCCTGAGCCATCTTCCTGTGCAAATACTATCCTTCTGTTCTCCCATGATTGATCGTTCCATGGAGTACATCTATCTGATGTAAATGTTCACCCCATATGTCTACTGTTTGGGTGGAAGCCAAGGGAGTGAGTTCAATTCCAGACCCGAAGGGACTATGGGCCATAGTCTTGGGGGTCTCACTAGGCTCTATCAGACCAGTAAACCTGGTCTTTTTTATGATTTTGAGTTTTGTTCCACACTGTTCTCCTACTTCATCTAAGATCTCCTGCACTGATCCCTTTCTGAGTGGTTGATGGTGGTAGCCGGACACCATCTAGTTCATCTGATCTCATGGTCATATAGGCTGAGGTTTGCAATGGTCCACTAGTTCTTTAGACTAATTGTTTCCAAGCATCTTTGGTTTTCTCCATTTTTCTTAGGGGGCAGCTTCTTTGCTTCATCAAGCAGATGGTCTTCCTGGGGGCCTCTGGGTCCTATGACCTAAGCACCCAGCCCAGTCTCACTGGCAGGTGAGAACAACAGGAGTCCTCAGAATCAGAAGCTGTATTTTAACAAGATTCTGTATATCTGGGGTGGAAATGCAAATTCTCGGCAGGGGGTTCATACCAGAAAGAACCTGTTTGAAGCCCTGGTGCTGGGCGAAAGGCTTGGATCAACTCAGAGAAGAAGGCTCTGGAAGAACAGATCAGGAGCATGCTGGGAAGCGTGGTCCTGCTGTTTGGTTCAAACAATCCTGTTGCCAGAGAGAGGAGCAGTGACAGGAATTGTCACGAAAAGGGGATGGGAAGTGAAACTGGCACCCTGTCCCCTCTACATCCTCTCCCACCCACACTGGAAGGGTGCAGGAGGAGGACAGGGTGGTAAGCAGGTTGAGGGGGTGGGGGCAGAAGGTCGCTTTGCACTGATCTCTGTTCCTGGCCCCTGAAGCACAGGGGTCGTTTAGAGACATGAGATGAAGCCGTAACACCACCAACTTCTTGGACAGGCAGGGCCCAGGGTGCGGGTGGCAGCTGCCTTCTCTGTGCCTAGAGCCCCCTCTCTGATGCCCGCCCACTGACGGCCACGTACATTTTTAGCTAGAACATTTTCCTCACTGCACTCCCCAGAGTTAGGCCCTCTGTTGCTATGGAGACCCACTGGGGAAGATGCATATGCTTGATTTCTTAAGTCCTCTGAGAGCTTGGAATATGACCAATTAGTCAAGAGTGAAAGATGGCACTTAGGATATCCAAGGAAAAGCACCCCCGCCCCACCCCAGAAGCTAGAGGTCCAGGGGATGGGGAAAGAGGGGCCATATTGACCATGCCTCTATCAACCCCTGGCAAAGCCATACCCAAGGAACCACGAAGATGAGGGGGAGGACTATAGGAGGAATGTAGAGCCTCAGGCCAGCCGAGCTCAGGCCAGATGGGAGTGGTGCTGACTCAGGGTGCCCAGGACCAGGGGACAGTGCCCAGTCTGGCCAGCAGGGCACCAGGCCAAGCCACTCGGCCCACATGGCCTAAGAGGAGGACCTGAGTAGCTTAGAGTGGAACCAGGCCCTCAGGGAGGAGGGAAGGGAGGCGAGACAACAGGCCGCCAGACACCAAAATTAAGCACCAAAAATGGAAGGTTTTGAGGCTTGGGAGTGCTGTGCGTCGGGGAGCGATGGAGGACAGAGGGGAAGGCCACTGGGGCTTCCCGAGCCAAAAGTCTCCACAGGGAGGGCAGGGGCTTGAGCGGCTATCACACACTATGTTTTCTATATTGAGCCTCCACACGAGATTTTGTTTAAAACAAGGGCTATGATGCTAAAAACAAGTCTGAAAACCCCTGCTCTGGAGAAGCATGTGGGCGTTTGGGAAGAGGCCAGATGTGTCTACAGGCTGCAGGGTGTGTGTGCTGGCTTTACTCTCAGTCTGGAAGGTTTGCAGTGGGTCCTCACTGTGGGCTCTGTGTAAAGAAACAGCCAGGGGACCCACAGCCAGTTGCCCACAGGGGGATCCAGCTCTGCTACCAACACCAATGAGTGCTCTGACCATGGGCAGGCGGCCATTTCCATGGTCCCTCATCCGGAAGCCAGGGACAAGAACAGTCCTCCCTCCCAGGGCTACTGTGCGGATTCTGATGACATATTTGAAAACATTCAGGGGCACATGGTGGGCGGATAGCATACAAATTTCCCCAAGTTAGGCAGAGGGTCCTACAGGGTTGGGGGGAGGGTGGAACAGCTGACTTCTCTGTTGACCAGGAGAGCAGTGAGCCTCTCTGTGGGGGATGATTGTGGGTTGGGGTGGATTACCCCACCCCCTGGCCCATACACACCCTGGGGTGACAACCTTAGAGCCTGAAAGGAGACACCGGGTGGGGGTCAGGCTGGGGCCCCGAGGCTTGAAGCCTGTAACAGGATCTGCTGCCATCTGCCCCTGACACCAGTCGGGTTCATGTTTGGTAGCAACTCTGAGCTGTTTGCTGCCTGACAACTGGGCTGGGGCCAGGCCCAGGAAGATGTGAGGGCTCACCTGCTCTGCACCCAGGCCAGCCCTGTGCCCACAGTCTGCTGACACCTTTCTGCCCCTGCCCCCAGCTGCCCAGAGAACAGGTTTCCAAGATGGTGGAAACTCAGAACCAGGACCTCCATCCCATCCAAATGTCTGTGCCGACTCCTCACCACTCCACTCTGCTATGGGGATGCCCTGTCCTAAGCCTGGAGACCAGACCTGCTGAGTGCCTCTCGGCTTGTAGCCCCTCCTCAACTTGTGCCAACTACCACAAGGATCAGAAAGGTCTATAGTTACTAAGCTCTGGGTCTAAAAAAGGGATGGGGAGAGTAGGTTGATTAGAGCCATTGAAGTTTCAGAGAGGGGCAGGGTTGTAAGGGAAGTTCCCAGAAATTCCCAACTCCACCCATTCCTTCTTCCCTCCCTTCCTGGATCTCAGGGAGGGATCACCTGGTCACATCTCTCCTAGGCAGGCCTCCAGGTGGCCCTCCCTGAGGATGCTGCCTCTCCCATCCCCACGACCACCTGGAGTCTCATCTGGAGGCTTGGCCACTGTGGGGCTGTTGTACGTGGTCTATGCCCATATCTAGGATGAGAGGGGCAGGGTCACAGGACAGAACCTCAGTGGTGCTTGTTTGGTGGGAGGATCCTGGACACAGAGCCAGGGGCTGACCTGGACTCTCTGGCTAGGGGGATGCTATCAGGCTGAGCCTGGCAAAGCCTTACTCTTCAGGCCAGGGAGATCAGCTGTCCTGCTTGGGTCTGGTTGCTGCCATTTGTATGGTGACTCTGAGAAGAATCTCCTGTCAGGGCAAGGACAAGGACTGCAGCTTAGAACAGGGGCCTAAGGGAAGAGGTCCTACCTTCCTTTTTCAGAACTGCCCCCATACAGCATTCCACCCTATTAAGGCACAGCCTGACAATGTCCCCCAGAGCAGCAGAAAGGCCCGGGTGCGTAAGCATTTTCCTTCTTTTTTTGAGAAGGGGGAGGGCTGCCCTGGGAAATAGAGTGCTAGGCAAATGCGAGTGCTAGGCAAATGCGGTCAGGCTGAGAGCTCCTCCCCGCCCTTCCCTCAAGTATTTATACAAGTTATTTTGGGAATTTTCTTTCTGAGCTCAAAGCACATTCCTGGGATTCTGTAACAGCCTTTCCAGCTGGGAAGTCCAGAATCAGCTGGAGGCTGCTGGAGCCTCCTGGTCCCTGAGGCCTCTGCCTGGGGACACTGGTGCTTCAGGAAGGAGCCCTGGGGGCTCTCTGAGTCTGCTCTACAGGAAGGGCTCCCTCCCTTCACCCACCCTAAGCACTGACACACCCTGCAAGGGAGGCTCTGGCACACCTGGGCCATCTGGGGCTCTGCATCTGGACTTTCTGCGCCACATTCCAGCCGGGGCGCTTGTCGACATTCCGGGCTCTTTCAGGTGTGTCAGCATCAACCTGTTCAACCAGACTGGGAACCTGCTGTCCAAGACCCAGCCCCCTTGCACCACCACATCCCCCATCACATCTCTGCTGGGGCTGGGACAGCTCCAAGCACACAGGCTGGCCCCAGTCCCCTGTGGTGAGAAGAGGTATAAATCCTGCTAGACTCAGCCTGAGGCCTGGCTGAAATGCTCACGTTGTGGGCCCCCTAGGCTCGCAGAGGAAGAGGACCTGCTGAGAAGTTCCTAGACTTCCTAGGACCTTAGTCTTCTAGGCTGGTGAGTCTAGAAGTAAACACCCTGTGAT